AACCCAAATATGAGATGCTTAATTAATTGGACCAAATTGGACTATAAGAAGGGAGTAGGCTTGAAGCCGGTCACCTTTCTTGCCTTCGTGTTTTTGGTGGAGTATCGTTAGGCATGTTGTTCTGCTCTGACCATGTGCGTCACATGATGGACGAAAGCTCAGCAAAGATTCATCGGGGTCGCAGGACGGTGCGCCGAGGACCTATTCGCACAAATCTACCATCACATCTCCAAGACAATACACTCACAGCTTCGGACGGAACCAACTTACGAATCCCTTCCATTCGCCTCTTCAAACGAAATGAAAGGCACTCAAACAGCAGCAGATTCTATTTGCCTTTTGAATTCTTTTCCAACTTTTGCCTTTTATAATGGATCAATCCATGTTCAATCAGCATTAGCAACCTATTTTATATCTTAATGTTTTTTGTAAAAGTTTTCATTCTTATCCTTTCTGACCTATTTTTATGATTTATAGCCTCATGAAATCATATTTTGTGCGGATTCAAGTATTCTGTACTATCTGGCAATCAGTGGTATCAAATCCTTTTGACAATTAAATTGTCATTACTTATTTTACATCTATATCTTCCTAAGAAATGGCCCTATAATAGTAGTACCACAGTATTACCAGCCATAATATCTTCAAACTCCACCCCATGAAGGGTTTCCCTATTCTGACTATCCATTTTTTTCATGTCACACTGCTTGCTTTTAAAATTCTAGAAAAGAAAACTCTTTGTCCGCGGCAATAAATTCGGCCGAAACGCGCTTGTCCAGCCTGGGCGTTGAAACTGAGTATGCTAGGCAATCTCTTGAAGAGGCCAAAGCCACAGAGCAGCGTCTAGCAGGGGAACAGCTTCGCCTCGAGGAACGAATCGCTGCGAGCAGGGTTGAGTTGGAGCGAATACAGTAAGCTAGAATTAATTGCTGGTCCTTAATCTTTTATTTCCTTCTGCCGGCTTTGCTTGCCTGCCAAATGTCTCTATGCCGATTGCAAAGGATTTCAAGCAATTTATGAATATCCAACAATATTATTTAATTTTCGTATATAAGTAGTTATTTAATAACTAAATATTGTCCGTAATAAGATACAATTTATCATCCCTTGGTAATGACAGTAATATCTGCTGTAAACATGTCCTATATAATTAATATAAAAAATGATGCCAATATTGATACTAGATTTTTGATCAAATTTGTATAAATTCACCTTCTCCCCGTGATAACGTACCTAGAAGAGTAACTAGTTACCCTGATCTTTTTTATACCAAGGAAGCATTACCTAGTTTGTCAGCATGCACATGTTCTGGGTGATTCAATTTGACTATACCTGATTGTTTGCAACAATTTGTGTAGGCAGGAGATGGAAGAAATTAACTTAATTTGGGGAATTGCTTCTAATTGAACTAGCTAATGAAAAAAACTTTATGAAATACTTTCTCATGTACTTACAGAAATATCCTTTCTCATAGTACAATTCAAATGAATCGAAATATCTCTTTTGATGGTCTTTAATTAACTAGGAATTTAACTGCTATTTGTCGTTTCTCTACCATTGGATTATGGCTCAGCGTTCCCTAATGTATTTTTGGGAGGGGTGGGATACACCTTTAAGCATTTCTAGTTTTTTTTTAAGCCAACGATTATTTTCATATGTGAGATTTTCATTGGAAAAAAGGTTATTGGAATATAATAGTCAGAAATAACATAATATAATTTTTAGCTCCGATACTGTACAACAATTCGCATGCTGCTATAGTCCTAACCATTTAGCGTATGTTTTTAGAGTGGATGATGTACCTGTCTCAAAATATCTAGTGTTCTAAATGTAGTCATAATGTAAAGCAATAATAATATCAGTAGCACTAGAGCGCTAGAAATAAATCTCTAAAAGCCTGAAGTGCCGGTTAGAAAATTGATTTTGAACTAACATTTATAGTTGCTATTGTAGACACGTACTTTTCTCTAAAAAGTGAGCAGTGTCAATCCTGCCGTAAGAACATAATATATGCCTACAATTAGCTCATTCCCATGGTAATGATACAATATCAACTAGTAAGCGTACGTGAATTCGTTTTTCCTATCATCCTCCACCCTTATAATTTTTATCTTAATTGTTCTCATTAATAAAAAAAAACTTTAAATAAGCTGATAGGTTTTTTATGCATTCTAGCCCTGTATGTTTATTTATCATCTATACGCTTTATTCTTCATTCATAGACTTCAATAAAATGCTGTTTTATTGTATTTTATTGATGAAAGTTGAACGAACTTCCCTAAGTCTCTAAGACTGATTCTGCTCTTAATTTATCTGCCTTGATATTTTCATCAATTAATCGTCCTACTTTTTTGTTTATGTAAGTAGTATACAATAGGAAATCGTATATAATTTATAGAGCCGGGTTAGTTTTGTTTTTTCGTTTCATAAGTAGGTTTTTTTGAGACTACCAGTAGATCTGTATTCATCCTATTTTGTTTAAGGTGATGAAGGACTGGTAGGTGAAATTTTCAACAACGAAATAAGTAAGCCTTACGCTTCCTTTTAATTTTACAAAGCTCTGCTTTCCAAGGGTATTCTCATCCGGGCATGAGTGGACTGAAGTTTCGACTTCGCCCAGGTATCATCAACATCCGTAGAGGGACTCTAACCGTAACAGTGCAGCATATAATCTAGACACATGTACCACTAAGCCAGACCGATATAAGTGCTCTTGGGCCACAGGGCAGATATGAATTTCGAGAAAAGCCTGGCATTTTTCTATACCAATTTCTAGGGTGGGGTTGCCTATAAGATGGTCGATATCAGAGCTACTGGTGATCTCGAAAAATAAATAGAATAGCCGATTAGCACAGCAAATACAACTTTGCTCATTTTACAATCCCATCACTGAATGTGGTATAGTTAAATGCCTAGCCTTCCTTGAAATCACCTCTGCCGTCTGACCCAAGAGCACTTCTGACAGTTTGACTTGGTTATATACGTGTCTAGATTTAATACTGCACTATATGGGTTAGAGTCCCGTTAATGATGATGAGATCAATGCGAGGTCTATATTGCTATCCACCCTAGATGGAAATACTTAATGGGAGGCAAGGCTGTCTGAAAATCAATGGAACCATTAAGCCTACTCATATAATTTGTGGGAACATCCAACTACCAGTCTTTCATAACCTCAAGTTAAATACGGCCATTACAGCTTCTAGTTTTTATTTACTATTTAAAATTATCTGATATCGACACTGTCATGGAGAAATGAAAATAAGGCTCATATTGGAATACTTTTCATTGCGTTTGAAGAGGCGAGTTGAAAGGATTCGTAAGTTGGTTCTGCCCGAAGCTGTGAGGGTATTGTCTTGGAGATGTGATTGTAGATTTGTGTGAATAGGTCTTTGGCCTACCGTCCTGCGACCCCGATGAATCCTTGCTGAGCTTTCGTCCGTAATGTTACGCACATGGTCAGGACAACATGCCTAACGATACTCCACAAAAAACACGAAAGCAAGAAAGGTAACCGGCTTCAAACTTACTCCCTTCTTATAGTCCAATTTGGTCCACTTAATTAAGCATCTCATGTTTGAGTTGGAGATCCAAATGCGTTGCCGAAATATTTACTCAAAAGTTAAGTTAACTGGCTATGGATGACATGTGAAGTGACTTCGGATGGAGCGTGAGACGGGTGCAATTGTAACCAAATTGTTGCATCCTGCTCTGAAACACTTATGACTTTGATCCTGCAATGATACCGTATTTGATTGTCTTCCATTGTATAACTGTTGCATGAGTGCATTGCTCTTAAAATAAGTGTGATGTGAGAGTCAAAACCAAATTCCGGCCCAATCAAGCCTCCTTCATTTGCTCGATGGTGCTGTTTGTTCCCCCTATTCTCTATCTCTAAACCTATTCAACATCTACAAATAGTTTCCGCTTAACTTCCTGCATTCATTTATCCTATTCGGAGTGTTGGCTGTTTTGTTGATTTCTATCGCCTCCCTAATCTTTCGCTTACTGTTATAGTCCCCATATCCAGCTAAGCATTTGGCACTAAACCGTCTATCTGGCGTTCTGTGCGAGCCATGTGCTCGTCAACTTCCGATTTTTGGTCCCATAAACCTTTCAAGCTCTTTTATGTTCGGATAACCTGTTATGAATGGGCCTACAGTTCTCTCTCACATACGCTCTTTCTCATTCTCTCTGACAAAATTGTAAAATAGTTCTCAAGCCATCCTTGTTGTTGCAAATAAATCTTGATCTTTTATACATCCTGCTTCCTTTATTATTTACAATAATTCCAAGTGGGACTCCATCTTTATATATTTTGTGCAGGCCATATGCTTTCAGAGCCCAAGCATCTCGTTGAAGAAGCGTGTTTATTTTCCACTTCTCCAGTTCCCGGTTTGTTACACAATGCTACAAGTAACCCATGAGTCTAGACTTATAGGTTTCCGTAGGGTCTCTATTGATTATCTTGTATATGATAGTATCATCCAAAGCCTTTCTCCTTTTTTCTACATATATCAACCTCTTCCTGTCTACTACTGCTCCTCCTTTTTTTGCCCTCAAAACCATTTAGTCCTCATCATTCAGTTTTCTCATGTCGTTTTTCACTCTATTATTCTTCTTTGTTATTTCTACATAACTAGTATTTAAAGGAACGACCTGTAATTCAATCTCTCTCCTAATCCATTCTGGAAGATGGTTTGTAAAACATGAATTCCGCAAGAATCTTATCTCTATTTTATCTACTGTTTGACAAAGCAAAGTCCAAGCTTTTCAAGAGCACTTCCTCGCGGATAACGTCCAACGCTGTTTTGGAGAGGTTTACCACTTTCTCACCAATTATCCTTTGCTACATAACGTCTCTCATAGACATATTTTAATTAGCCTTTGTCCTGAGTCTTATACACAAATTCCTAAGTTTCTTATCATTTCTGTATCTATTCTGTTGAAACACTCTATCATGCAACATCTCCGCTATATTTTGTAATTTGGAGAAATCTTGTTAAGGGGACTTTCATTTCGTATGAAAGTGCATGAAGAAGAGATTCTTAGGCCGCTCTCACCAGAAAAGGACGGCTGAATCCCGTTGTACTATAGAATTCGAATATGATAAATCTTCCCAGCTGAGAGTACTCGCCAATGATTGGCGTAATCTGGTTTTCCTTCTTATTAAGGAGTGTAATTTTATAATGTTTTCTTGGGTCGTAATATTACCTAAATCCTGGGATGCCCTCTGATTGACTCTCTTAGTTCTATTAGGCAAATTTGATATATCAATAATACAAAAAATAGGTAAAACCCTAAGAGGAAGATATGATTTCAAAAAACGAATATGATCCACTTGCTAGGCCAGTGCCTTCTTGGTCTAAATGTATAGTGATTATTATATTACATTACAGTACATTACATTACCCTTCATTACGAAACCAAGTTTTCTACATAAATACGAAAATAAGGCTCTGTTCCTGCATTCAATTGCTCATCACAATATTTCCTAAAGAGTTGTCCGTATTTCAGGTTGGCTATGATTTCAACTTCCCCACATCGGCTATCTTGGGATGGTTAATATGCAAGTGCTTTTCTCTATAAACTACACGGTACCCAAATTGTGTCACACAAGAAATCGAATCTTCAAGGCAGAGCAAAACCTCTCATCTCACTTCTTTTTTTTGGATTTCGGACTGATATAGTACTATGTATTTTTGCCTGTAAACTCGATTAGCTACTGATTTGACAGTAATAATAATTTTGTCCAGTAGATATCAAGAACTGTATCAGTTTCGGCTAGTTTCTGAATTCGACTGATATTGACTTTCGCCATATCGCTATCGGCTTTATTGAGAAACCAGTCGAAAGTGGAATAACTTTACAGCACTCCTGCTGCTCTTATGCCAAGCAGTATTGTTGCTTACGGCAAAATCAGCAGCTGATAGTGCTTATTTATAAAATCACATATTTTCCTATCTCTACAAAATTCTCCATCAAATGATGTCTTGAGAAAGGCTTGTTCTGACTGAAAGTCATACGTGTCGTGTAACACTATGTGACTTGTCTTTGAGCTTTTAGGACAACATTTTTGCCTTTTAATCCACTTTTTATTGTTTTAATTATGCTGTAGAATCTCAGTAATGATAAGGCAAGGTCGAAAA